ATGTCGATTTCTTTTTCAGTAGTTGAACTTGACTCGATGCTTGTCATTTGAAAAGTAGGAAATCTTAAAGATTCAGAGTTATGTTGAAGGATATTTCACGTTTCATATTGCAGACTTTTCCCTTTTATAAGAAGAGCTTACAAGTTTAGAGTGGGGCGGGTTTTATTGTTACTTGCGGCTTTGTCAACCATGTACGGCTATATGTCAAAAACCCCAAGAAAATCAAAAAAATAAAGAATAAAAATAGCTGCGAAAATTATTAAAGGTTACACAAAATGTGACAAATTGCCTCACAACACCCAACCACACAAGCTAATGGCTACAATAATTATTGCATTCTTGTTCCAAATACAAAATTCCGCCTGCTTAAAACTGCTCCGGTTCACAGTAGACTTAGATTAAGGCGGTTTACGAACTGTGCCAGGTCTCAGCTTCGATGGGATCAACTTGCGCGAAAATCTTTTTCAGTAGAACAATAAGGCGAGGGGTAGATTTGGACGTCCCCCGGTGCTATAACGGGTAGAAGTCGTTCCCAAAACGGTTCAGAAAGCTAACAACAACAACAAATTTACCGGTCCTTTTGGTGCAATAAATAATTTCGCCGATAGTTTCCGTTAACGCTACAACAAAAAAAAATATTATAACTTGCGTTTCTATACCAAAAAAAAAGCATATCTCCTCCTACCCGAACGGATCTAAGGACCAATATTGTCTTGGTGTTTGACATTTTCTGCCACACTCGTGGCTCTAAATACAAAATAACTGTTTCCGCTTGTAGATATACCCGCTATATCAGCCACAAATGGCACTAATTGTAAGCACAACGCCACCTCCTGTAAGACAACGTGAACTGCCTCTCATAAATACAGTGGCTAATAAGAAGGATCCCATATCCAAAGTAAGATCCAATGAGGAGCCTTGTAATGTTGTAGGAAATATTTAAAATGTGGAAAGGGAAAGAGCAGATGACGGACCGGACAATAATCGAAAGTTCAAGAATTTGGTTGGGTAAGTCGGTCTCTATAGTGATCAAAGCTGGAGAGAGGCTCGAAGACGGAGTCGGAGTCAGCCCCAACCCAGTTCAAATACTCAACATTGATGGTCAATGGAGTATACAGTCAGGTAGAGCTGTGACATCTAACAATTACCCAGTTCAGTCAGGAATAAAAATACTTTCACCATAAAGTCACCGGTTGCCGACAATCAGTAAACCCAGTTACGTTCGTTGGAGTCTGGGAGTATTTCTCCCCCCATCAAGACCAATCAAATATCCAATTACATCACCCCAGATTCACTGGTCTTTTAAGTACATATTTCATTCGCTCCAAGGGCAAGTTTCATTCGTTATATTTAATTACTTACTCGAAGGGGGGTTGGAATAAAGAAATGTAATTCCCCTTTTAATCTGCAAGGAATATTTCTAGGGATTTTGCAGCCATTTCAAATAAAGTTTAAACCTGAGGTTGACATATAATCAATTGTTTCATGCACAACTAAAAGATTTTAGTTCTTATCGGTTAGCTAAACTGAAGGGGGTGAATCCATACTACTTCGAGAAATGACAGTTTCTTGATAGGAAGAAGAAGAAGGATAGTAGTTTATTATGATAAAAACAATGGCAATGTTGCTCTTTCGTAAATCGAAAATAGCAATCTAAAAAAACCGTTTTCTACCAATAATGAGAACGTTGCCTATCTTTTTGAGATAATTTTTCAAGGGGTCTAATAATTTTAGGCCAATTATTAGAGTTCGTGTGGGTATTTATCTCCTTGAAAAACGTTGGTTGATAATAATAATTGTCTCGGAACAATTCAAAGAAAATAAACCTAAAAGTTACGGAGAATATTCTACACGTGATAGGTCATGTGATTTACCCAACAATTTTTATTTCTTTTATTTTTTTTTTTAGTATGAAAAAAAAAAATTGTTGAGTAAAATTATTTAAAGTGGCTAGGGTCGTGGATTGTCTAGATCAAATTATAATTCTCTTTCTGTATTAAGAAAAGTTTTTGTTGTATGAAATTAAGTTGGTCCTGGGGTTTTACGTTGGATTTGAGTCTTGACCGACAGAACCCAACTTTGCAACTAAAAGATCATTCACAAAATGGTTAGCACGTGAAACATAATCGGTGTTCTAGACGTGGTACCCCTATTTTACTTCAATTAACAGTTTGATTTACGATATCTGACGGGGGCAATTGCATAATCTGATAAGGAAATCTATTAATAGTGATAGGGTTCATCCCTTAAATGTGGTTGTATATCCCTTAAAAGTGGTATCATTATTTCACTATCTCTTCTAGATCTTTTTGATTGTTCTCTGAAAACCACAAGAATGGTGGCAAAAAATTCAACACATACTACAAATCAGAATAAAAAAATAAAAATAATTTTAACTCAACAGTATTCCTGTTAAGCGAGATTGATCCTCAATAAAATTGCTGTTGAGAATTAGAATTTATTGAAAGTGTGTGATTGTTAAAAATAAGTTGGGCTGTGACAATTTTAAATTACGTGTCTTTCGCCATTATTATTATAAATATATCATCTACTCTCCCTTCTTTTCATCCTCTCTTGACCTAAAAGGTTTTTTTGGCAATTTCGTTAAGTCCGGTCCGTCATTGTCTCAATTCCTTTTTTTTGGTCTGTGTGTCTCTTACGGGTGGTAGTAATAAAAAAAAAATATTAATTTAATTAAGGAAACAGACGAAACGAGAAAATTCCATATTTAATTTTTTTGCTTTTTACTTTTCTCATACAAAAATTTTAAAAAGGAAAAAAGGAAAAAAGGAAAAAAGCAAAAAAATTACTTTACAACGCAAAATTCCACCAATTGTAGTTCATTAAAAACTTTTACAACCAAAATTTAAATATAACAACTACTACTACCAACTACCTATATACTTAGTACTAACTAACCCACCATGTCATCTATTGTTACTGATAGTAATGGTAGTACTACTTTATTAAATTCAGATGAACAAGATATCTTAGACGAATTTCTAGATCAACGTGTCTATGATTCTTTAGGAACAAATACTCCAATAAATGGTAGTAATGGTACAGTCAAATTAGAACAGAATCAAAATGAGCTTATAGATAGTTTATATGCTGTAGCTGCTGCTGCTGCTTCCACTACTTCTTCTTCTTCTAAGAATCCAACACAATCAGCTAGATCATCTTCAACTGGTTTATCAACAATTGTTCACAACAAATCTTTTCAACAATTTACAACAACTGCAAATAATCCAATAATAAATGGCAATAACAACAATACTAATTACAATACAAACAATCCATCACCTGATTATCTTTACTTTGATATGCCTCATGAATCAAATTTCGCTCATTTGCAACAGCAACAACATCAACAATCATCACCAACTGGATCTTATGATTTCAATCATAATAATGATAATAATAATAGCAACCCCCTTTCAGATTTCGACTTTATAAGAGATGAATTAAGTAAATTAAAGTTTGGTAACCATTTTATGAATCCATGTCCTAATTCAGTTGAAGTTCCCCATCCTTCATATCTTGATTTTTCAAATCAAAATTCATTACCTTATAAATTACAAATATCAAATTTACCTTCATATTCTCGTGTTGAAACTCAAATTAAATTGAAAATTTCTTTAAGTCCACCACCTCCACAATTCTTATTACATCTTCCTCAAGATTTAATTGCCAAAAATAAATTTTGTCTTGCTGATCCATTAGAAGATATTAATCCGAAATTAAAAGAAAATATGTTATATTTCGATGCATATGTATTAACTTCAGATTTATCTAAATCATGTAATATTTGTCCAAGATGTATTAAAAGAGAACAAAAACGTGCATCAAGACGTAAAATTGGAGGTGGTGATGCCGATGATAATGAATATATTCCACCTCCACCAACAACAACAACTACTTCAGCCAGTGGAATTGTCAAGAATAATCCCCTTAGTTGGGCAGATGAATCAATGATGAAAAAGGCATTGATATTTAATTGTAAAGAAATTGTATCATTCCCTACTCCAACTGGTTTAAATAATGATACTGCTAAATCATTGGAATTATCCGCTAGAATAATTTGTTATTGTAGACATCATAAAGAACCAAAAGGTTTCAGATTATTATTTGTCATTAAAGATAATCAAGGTCAAGTTGTGGCAAAACAAATTACCAATCCTATAATGATTATGGATAGAAAGAAGAATCAAAGTTTAACTCATAAAGATACTGGTTCATTACCTAATTCCATTGCCGGTTCTTCAACCAATTTACAAGGATTAGATCAATATTCACCACCAAATTACAAAAAGAAGAAACTTTCAACATCTGATATTTCCGATCGTGATGAAACAACTACCCATGGATTATCACCAACTTCACCTCATTTAATGAATCAATTATCACCTAATTCAGTTCTTGATGAATCCGCTTCCGAAGTTCAAACCAACACCGATGCCGAATCTTCACGTGGACTTAAACGTAAGAAATTATCGATTGATGATTCACTCAATAATTCAACTAATCCAATGTATAACGGAAGTATCCATAGTGGTTATTCACCAGTTAGTAACAGTGACACAAACACATCAACTCATTTTTACAACGGCTTCGGCAACAACAACAATAATAATGGAAAACCCCATCTTTCTCCAAGACAAGCACAAGCATTACTTGGTTCTCAATCATATGCCAATATTCCATTATTATCAAATCCACATACTCACAACTTCCCATCCATTCAACGTATAATACCGGCTCAAGGACCAATTCGTGGTGGTATTGAAGTTACATTATTAGGATTTAATTTCCGCCCGGGACTTCGAGTTAAATTTGGAGCTAATTTAGCCCTTGCTACTCATTGTTGGAGTGAGACTACTATTGTCACATATTTACCTCCTGCTGCTGGACCAGGACAGGTGTTGGTAAGTTTTGATAGTGGTCTGGATGCTAATGCTGGTGTTGTTGGCGGGAGTGGTAGCAGTATTTTCACATATACTGATGATACTGATCGACAATTGATTGAATTGGCATTACAAATTGTTGGATTGAAGATGAATGGGAAATTGGAAGATGCAAAGAATATAGCCAAGAGAATTGTGGGTACTGATGCTACTTCAAATAATAATACCAATGGTACAACAATGGCTGGTAATGGAAGTGGAAATAATAATATGAATGTTGCTGCTGCTGCTACTACCTCAACTGAAAATGGTCATGAATGGTTTGATAATGCTCATAAATCAATCACTGAACAGCTTGCTCAAAACCATACACTTTCAACTCATCAAATCCTTGTTAATTTACTTTCATTAGTTGATTTACCAAATTGTCCAATCACAATACCTAATTGGTCCCTTTCAAATCCTCAAGGACAAACATTACTTCATTTAGCTACCATAAAGGGATATACCAACCTTATCCAATTTTTAATCTCACATGGGGCAAAAGTTGATATGGGAGATAATCAAGGCATAACTCCATTATTCTTGGCTTCAATGAAGGGTGAACGAGAAATCATGAATATGTATCGCGATTGTCAAGCTAAATTTAGAGTCAAGTATGATAATGATAAATGGATGAAGGATTATTGTGATTTGAATGTCTTGGATTTCTTTGATGAAGAAGAAAAGAAGAATGACAAGAATAAGAAGAATAATAAAGCCGCCGCTTTGAATAATAATAAGTCAGTTAAGAGAGATGGTAGTGAAGAAAGTTTATCCGGTTGGTTTTTTGATAATTATGGTAAACATGTTTCCAAGATGGTTGTTGCTGATGATTTGGTTGACAATAATGCTAGTGATAGACAGCCAGAAGAGGTCCTTTCCGATGGATTGATATCTGAAGGCGCTGGTGCTGGTGCTGGTGTTTTGTTAGATGATGACGAGGTTGGATTTGCTGATGCGGAATTGGAAAGTGAAGATTTTGATGAATTTGATGAAGATGATGATTATGAAGATGATGAAGTTGATTATGAAGATGATTACACCGATGATGAAATCACTGTTTCAAACACCACCATTAATTCCCCAGTTGAAGGTACTTCTTCTTCAGATACAGCAACCACCATTAGTGATACCACTCCTGCAACATCATTACCACCATCACCACCTGCTTCTCCTGGTTTATGGAGAAAAGTAATGAATGTCTTCCATAGCGATGACGAAGAAGTCTTGCCTGCTTATGAAGATTTATTCCCTCTTGGTCCAAATGCCACCAAACAAAAACCAAAATCACAACTCGAACAACGTCTTAATACAGATACAACTTCTTCAACTACAGAAGCAACAACTTCGAGACTCACCCATTCAACTAGTAATGACTCAGATACGGCCTTGACAGATTCTTCTTCGGATGATATGGTGATTAAGTATATCAATCACCCAAGAAAGGCAGTTGAACATGATAAGATGTTATTCTTGTTTTGGATGCCTGCTTTGGTGTTTATTCTTGGATTGATGTTTATGGTATATGTTATGGGATATAGATTCGAAACGGTGGATTTGTTGAAGGGATATATTAGGAATGCGGTTGGTCATTTGATGGTGGGTGATGAAAGAATTGATCGGGTGTTTAAGTCAGGTGCAGCATCTGTTGTTGGAGCTGCGAATGTACAACAACAACCAGTTGGGGTTGTGTGATGATGACGAATGTTGGTTTTTTTTTGTTTTGTTTTTGTTTTGACGTTTGCTGTTTAAATTTGTATTATGCTTTTGCTGTTTTATTTTAGAGTTATTATTATTATTATATTTGTGTTCTTGTATTAATGGGTTTAATCTTTTTTTATATATTAAATATTTTCAACTAATTACACACTATCTTTAATCTTGTTTATTTATTTTATCAATTTTATTTAATATTCTTAAGAGTAAGTTAATATTCGTGATGTAGATGTCAGAAAGTATCGGCAGGCAATTGAGATAAAAGAAGTGTCAGTCATTGGATAAGAGATCAAACTTAGTAAACATACAATTCTTCGAATCATTGTTGCGCTTTGTAGTAATCTTACAAATCCTCTCTTTCTATCTAACATACAAACTAATTTTGGTGAAATATTTTGATGGTTTTGATCTGTTGCAAAAAAAAAAAATTCATCCAATAATCACCAACCAAAATACAAACCATTCCTCTCCAATAAGATAAACCATTTCCTCCAATAGATGACGAACGTAATCCTACTCAAAAATGCAAGTATACCGACAGATCCCTATCACACCAAATTCACCAATTCCCCATCACTGACTACAACCTACATTCCTCATTTCATCCCTCTTCTAACTCACACCCATCATCCTTCCAAAGAATCCACAATTGAATATCTAAGCTCAACTGAATTCGTATTTGATACTCCCATATTCATAATCACCTCCCAAAGAGCAGTGGAAATGTTCAGAGAATGTTTAGAAGAATTGGATATAGATATACGCAGTCAGATATTGAAGAAGATAGGATATACAGTGGGTCCAGCTACTGCTAGAATACTTTCCCAGGTTGGGTTTAATGATGTTCGAGGGGGAGAAAATGCGGGAAATGGGTCAAAATTGGCCGAGATTGTTATGAACGATGTTGATAGTAATGAGAAGAAAAAGATTGTATTTTTAACTGGCGAGATACGGAGAGATATCATTCCCAAGAAATTGATTGGATGTGGGTATGATTTGAGTGAGAGAGTAATTTATAAGACTAATGAGAGAGAGGATGTAAAGGAGAATTTCCTCGAGACGAAAAAAAGGGCCAGTAATGGTGGGTGGATTGTATTCTTTAGTCCACAGGGTACAGGGAGTATTGTAGAGGAGTTAAAGCATGATCAAACAAGTTGGAAAATTGCTAGTATTGGACCAACCACGGAAGAATACCTTGAATCAAATGGTTTAAAACCAAATGTGATTGCAAAGAAACCAGATCCTGATTCTTTATATGAAGAGATAATAAACTACGTCTCTATAAATAATAATAATTAAAATAAAATCAGACTTATAATAAATAGAATATAAATAATATATTTTCAATAAAAACAATAAATTATTCTATGTAAGATAAAATTCAATAACAATAATAATAAATCGAAAAGACAATCAGCATTCTGTAAAAAAAAAGGTGGGAAGGTATGAGTTCATTCCAGGACGACCTATCTAAGATCTAGCTGCTTTAACAACATTAATAATTTGAGAAACAGCATCTGGATTAGATAATGTGGAAATATCACCTAACTGATCTTCTTCACCAGCCAAAACCTTTCTCAAAATTCTTCTCATAATCTTACCAGATCTAGTCTTTGGTAAATCATCAACCAAGTGAATAACCTTTGGAGCAGCAAATGGACCAATTTCCTTTCTAACTGTCATAATCAATTCCTTCTTGATAGTTTCGAGATCTTCATGGACTTGATCCTTCTTCAAGGAAACATAGGCAGCAACGGCTTGACCAGTCAAGTCGTCAGCAAAACCAACAACGGCAGATTCACCAACCAAGTCATGTTCAATCAAGGCAGCTTCAATTTCAGCAGTAGATAATCTGTGACCAGAAACATTGACAACGTCATCAACACGACCTAAGATCCAGAAGAAACCATCGTTATCTCTTGCAGCACCATCACCGGAGAAGTAGTGGTCTTGGTATGGTCTCAAGTAAGTATCAATAAATCTATTGTAATCATTAAAGATACTTCTAGCAATAGATGGCCAAGCATTCTTGATACATAAAACACCTTCAACATCATTAGCAGTCAAAGTTTCACCAGAAGTTGGGTCCAAGATTCTAGCATCAATACCAAAGAATGGTAAGGAAGCAGAACCAGGCTTAGTTGGGGTAATACCTGCTAATGGAGTTAACAAGTGGGAACCAGATTCAGTTTGCCAATAAGTATCAACAATATGACACTTACCTCTACCAATGTTGTCATTATACCAATGCCAGACTTCAGCAGCAATTGGTTCACCGACAGAACCCAATACACGTAATGAGGATAAGTCGTAGTTTTCAATATACTTGGTACCAGCTCTCTTTAATAATCTCAAAGCAGTTGGAGCAACGTAGAATTGGTTAACCTTGTGCTTGTCAACAATTTCCCAGTATCTAGAGAAGTTAGGATATGCTGGAGTACCTTCAAAGACCATAGTAGTGGCACCACGTAATAATGGACCATAAACGACATAAGTGTGACCAGTAATCCAACCAATATCACCAGCAGTAAAGAAGACATCTTCTGGGTGAATGTCAAAAGTATATTTCGAAGTTAAAGCAGCACCAAGTAAGTAACCAGCAGTAGTATGTTGAACACCCTTTGGCTTACCAGTAGAACCTGAAGTATACAATAAGAACATTGGGTCTTCAGAGTTAACTGGGACTGGTGGACAGTAGTTACCATATTTGGCCATTTCTTCGTGCCACCATAAATCTCTACCAGCATTAAATGGAACATGGGCATTACCAGTTCTCTTGAAAACTAAGACATTTCTGACATCTGGACAATCCTTCAAGGCATCGTCAACAATCTTCTTAGTTTCAATAGTCTTACCACCTCTCTTTGATTCATCAGCAGTAATAACAAGTCTGGAATCAGCATCCAAAATTCTGTCCTTCAAGGAAGTAGAAGAGAAACCAGCAAAAACAACAGAGTGCATAGCACCAATTCTGACAATAGCCAATAAGGTAACAACAGCTTCTGGAATCATTGGTAAGTAAACAGCGACAGAGTCACCCTTCTTAACACCTAATTTGGTTAAACATTGAGCCATTTTACAAACTTGCTTCAATAATTCTCCATAAGTAACAATTCTACCAGTGTCTGGTTCGTCACCTTCATAGATAATAGCTGGCTTATCTGGGTTCTTAGCTGCCCATCTATCAACACAGTTGTATGAGGCATTTAATTGACCATTAACAAACCAAGCTGGTAAGTCACCATTCTTAAAATCGTTAGCTGGGTCAAGTGGTAAACGAGCATAGTCGAAATCTCTAAACCAATCTAAGTTTTCCTTAGCTTGTTCACCGAAAAAGGTGGCTGGATCCTTAATGGATTGATCATACATCTTCTTATAAGTTTCAAAATCTTGAATGTATGGCTTGGAAGTACCACGGTCAAAGAAACCTTGTGGTGGGGCTTGCATCTTTTCAACGTCTAAGGAAATATGGGATTGTTGTGGCCCGTGAGGGTGGGTGTGGTGATGAGCACTAGCAGTAGTAGATTCTGGCATTTTGAATGAAATTTATAGTAAAAATTTGACTGACGTGGGAAATATTATTTGAGGGGTTTTATTTTAAAACAATGGAAGTAAAAATAAATGATTGCAATTGAAATATATCTTTACTAAAAAACAAAAATGTCTGACAAAAAAAGGTTATTAGACAATTAATAAATAAAATTCTTCTGAAGATTGAAGGTAAGGAAGAAAGAAAAAGAAGATTAAACAACAACAATTGAAAGGGAAATTCGATCGATATTTATACACTTTCAATTATTGTCTGACTGAAAGATTTTTTTATTTTAGGGGTTAAGATTTTTTATTAACGTGTGTATGCATGTTGAGTATGGGGTAGATTAATTTTCCAATATTTTTCTTCATGTAACGCGATAAACTTTGTTTTTTTTTTTTTGGTTCAGACAGACAAATAATTTTTTTTTTTTAATCTTTATTTTTTTCTCAGACACTTTTTTTTCCCTTGTTTCTCGGTACTTTACTTTACACCAACTGCACCCCTACAATATCAGCAGTTTAAGTTTCTTCTTTATATTCGTTCAATATGTATGAATGCCTGTATGACTCGCAAGTTGGCTAGAAGCTTCCGCCCTCGTGGACTTAGCCTTTATAGCCTCGTTTTAGTCGTTGTTGTATTTCCGCAAAATGCATACAAAATGCGCTCCCAATGCGTTTTGTCTTTCTCGCAGGAACAAAAAAAAAAATAATGTGGGGTATTTGAGAACCAAGCGTCTGAAAAAAACGGAACAAAAATATTTTTATATTTTAGCTCAACAAAATTATGGAAGAAAAAAATAAAGTTCTAGATGAGAAAAAAAAAAGTAAATAATGGAAATTAACGGAAAGTCTTGGAAGAATTTACATCCTAATAAATCAGGCACGGGTATGGATCACCCACTTTGTGGGTAAGACAACAACTACTATATTACTCTCACTCGAACAAATTGTTGAGTTCCAACGAAATTGTTTCTAGAAGGCGGAGAATTTAATTTAAAGAGATAAACTTGGTAAATATTAGCCTGCGGAGTTATGAGCCAGACAAGGTTTTTCTTTTTTTGTAAGCAAAACTTAATTTCGGAGTTTGATTGGAGTGGAGGAGTCTTATCGGACTATCTTTTTAACTTGCACGTTGAGCATATATTTTGAATCAGCAGCCTATTTTAATTTGTACAAAAGAATGGTTCAAACTTTATTAAAATACTAATAAAAAAAAAGCGTATGTACAGTATATACTCACATATACAGAACAAATCAACCCCGTTTTGGTTCCTAATTCGATTAAGTTATGACGGTAATTATCGCTTATTCAATAAGAACGGCAAATCTGAAGGGGGGTTCAAAGTGTACAGTAAAGGAAAAATCGTTCTGTCCTGCATCAAAATTTACGAACGAATCAGAAAAAAGCCTGGTTTTTTTTTTTGCCATTGTTTCTTTCTGTGCTTTTTTTTTTTTTGCAACCCTACATTTCTTGTACCTATGGCAGAGAATTACGTCAACTTGAGTTCAATTAAATTAGCTTTTAACTGTATGATATAAAGCACCCGATCATCGAATTAAGGAAACTTTAGAAAAAGATTGTTAGGCAACGATATCAAACTCATTTATGACTGTCGCTAAATGCAGACAGTTCACAAATCTTACGATTAAAAAAAATATTTATTATTATCTTTTTTTTTAATTTATTATTTATGCATGCTAAAAATATTTCTTTCGGAGTACAAGACCAGGCAGTCTGATCCTTGAATAATAAAATGTAACACCCCCCTACAAAAACTTTCAGACACTTTTTTTTGTCTCTTGGGATGAAAAAAGTGTCTGAAATATGGGGGAAAATAGAAGATAAACTTGGCCTCTACTCCACTATTTTACCCCACTGTCTACAGGTAACTTTTCAATTTAAGTCTTTGTAAAAGCACTCCGAGATTAGGGCTCCGAGAAAAATAAATTTTAAATGATTCATTATAACAACTCAAAAGTTGATATATAAATAGACAATTTTTTTGTGTATAGATATATTATATGTCTGAGTGTGCAATCGAACATGGAAAGTATCGGTTTGACAGATATTGTTTAGTAAAGTTTCTTCCTAATTGCATCTAATCTACTATCATATGCGGAAAAAAAATATGAAAAGGAAGGAAGAAATATTTTAAGCCACAGACATAAAGCGATTATTTTTCTTGGAACATGTAACCATATCCACCAAACAATAACCACTAGACAACAATAAAGATTCTCGGACTTGATTTCGGAGAAGCTGTGTAACCCAATGATCGAATTATTGAATGTCATTTCGATAAGAAAAAGATTGAACAAATACACTTGAAAAAGATGGGGTAATGAGATGGTTACAATTAAACATCATATGCTATTAATTAATTAATTAATTAGTTCGATTTTGGCCATTTAATTTAAGTTCCCCCATACAAATTCGAAAATCATCTGAGTGGGGCCGGCTTAGCAATTGCAAAAATAAATCAACTGTTTTTTTATTGACAACCCTTGATTCAAAAATAATTCAGTGGTGGTGGTGGCGCTGGTGTCATTGTTTAGTTGGGTTATTCTATTGTCTCTATCTTATCTTTATTGTCATTGTCTGGAAATATTATGGGTTGCTGCATGAGGGATAGAATTTTAAAGTGAGAGTTTGGAAGCTCAAAAACCGTTCGTTTCTGGGAGGGGGCTTTGTTAACGAGACGAGTGGAAATTTATTCCCTTTGATTTTAATAATTAGATTTTAAACAATACCAAGCCAAATCTACCAAATCAAACATGTGCCTTTCATGAAATGGTTGCAAATTACCCCACTATAACGAATACTTTTCCACGGAGTTGATTACTCTTATTGCGGAGGTTTTTATAATTAATGAACCAAGGAAAATATCGGACTCTGCAGGTTGATTTCCGGACGACCAATATCTCGTTTTCGCTTGAAGTCGATTGTCCCCTAATTTACTACATTAATACTTAGCACTTCTGTTACAGCTGTTATCAAATACGGAAGAAAATGTACTAAGGAACTTCCTCATCCCGAAGTTACCGGAATCAGTCGAGTTACAGTATGTAGTCAATCAATAAAATTCATTAATTTGACTGATAGCCATAGACTATAAACTCTATTCTATTGATATATTCCCATTTCTCGTTTATCTATGTCCCAGTAAATCTTTGAATGATTAACATATAATTTTTAAGAAATCTCTATCTAAACTTTTCGACTACAAAGTGCTGGCTGGTCAATTAAAAAAGCCTATCAAAATTGTTCCAGAGGCGAACCAATGACGTGGTATTGATCATAAATGTAGGGAGATTATGCCTTTCAACATTAACTGAAGCAAGCTTGAAGATAGCCTGATATTAGGTTCTCTCTTCTCTTTGTCACCTTTTCTTTGTCACCTTCTCTTTGTATGCTTTCTTTTTTCTTTTTATCCATTTGTAAACTTTGCAACCACAGCCAGGTGCTAGCCAAGCAGAAACCCTCTCTGAATGAGGCAAGCAAAAGTTCAGCTTTGGTCATACGTAATAGTTTCGGACACCCAATCGTTGACAACAGTAATCAAAAGGGAATTAGGAGTATATTTAAATCTTGGGTTTAGACGCTGATTTTCCAATTTCTGTAAATTTGGCAACCATAACAGAAAGTGGTTGGAAGAAAATGATCAAACATCTCAGACTACCCTTACAAGACATAATAAACATGTTAGCAAATGCTATCACAATTACAACCTTCGTTATATATTAATCATTGACTCCCACTAATCTTTAAATCTATATACACATTTTATAAAAGCTAGCAAAGGTATAAACACTAATACATGAAAAGAAAACTTCGTAAATTCAATAAACACCGGGTCCAACTTATTCTATCAAGCTTTTATCAATTAACTAAACAATTCATATTTATCACAATTGGTACATTACACCTCTGTTGGTCTTGCATTGATATTTCTTGTCAAATCCATAGTACGTAAAATCTCTTCAGCTCCTTTGTTTTTCAATTTATCCCCTAATTCGACCCCTACTGTCTCACAGTCATCGATACATGCGACAGTTTTTGTCACTTCGTCTTCAATAGCCTTGGTTCCATCGGGACTAACTATGATTGCTTTCAAGTTTAATTCCTTTGTAACTTCGTCGTATTTACTCTTGACACCTAATGGAACAGAGCATCCTCCTTCTAAATATCTCATTAATGAACGTTCGGCAAGACAACAAACGGTTGTCTCATGATCATCAATTGCTTTCAACATCTTCTTAACTCTATTGTCACCTTTTCTGATCTCAATACCTAAAGCACCTTGTCCCACAGCGTAATACATCTCATCCAAATAGCTGGTTATCCTATCTCCCAACCCAAGTCTAATTAAACCGGCACTGGCCAATATTAAACAGGTATATTCATTTTCTGGTTTATCTAACTTTCCTAATCTTGTCTGGATATTCCCTCTAACTGACTCAAATTTCAAGTGTGGGTAAGCTCTGATCATTTGCGACGAACGTCTGATTGAACTAGTTCCAACAATGCTTCCAGCAGGCAAATCGCTTAATGCCTTATATTCGGATCCAGCTTTCATTACCAATGCATCTCTAGGATCTTCTCGTTTGGTGATACATCCAAGTTCGAATTCATCAGGTAAATTAGTTGGCATATCTTTAAGGCAATGAACTATAAGATCCAATTTTGGAAATTCGGCAACTTTATCAACTAGCAAGATCTCCAATTCTTTAGTCCATAAAGCCTTGCCACCGAAGGAATACAAAGGTTGAGTTTGGATTTGGTCCCCAAGTGTGGAAAGTGATAATATCGAAGTGGTAATAGATGGGAATTTCGATTTGAGAAGATCTCTTATGGATTCAGATTGAACAACTGCAAGTTTTGAACTACGTCCACCAATTTGAATATTGTAATTTTCGATTTCAGTTGGTCTTGCATTTATATTTCTTGTTAAATCAATACTTTGTAAAATTTCATCAGCTCCTTTCTTTTGCAATCTATCTCCCAATTCAACTCCAAGTGTTTCGCAGTCGTTCATACATGTGATTATTTTAGTAGCTTCATCTTCGATGGCCTTGGTTCCATCAGGACTGACTATAATAGCTTTCAAGTTCAATTCCTTGGTATTTTGGTCGTATTTACTCTTAACTCCTAATGGCACAGAACATCCTCCTTCCAAGTATCTCATTAATGAACGTTCTGCAAGACAGCAAATAGTAGTTTCATAGTCTGCAATAGCCTTCAACATCTTCTTTATTTTGCTGTCCCCTTTTCTGATCTCAATACCTAAAGCACCTTGTCCCACAGCGTAATACATCTCATCCAAATAGCTGGTTATCCTATCTCCCAACCCAAGTCTAATTAAACCGGCACTGGCCAATATTAAACAGGTATATTCATTTTCTGGTTTATCTAACTTTCCTAATCTTGTCTGGATATTCCCTCTAACTGACTCGAACTTCAAGTGTGGGTAAGCTCTGGTCATTTGCGACGAACGTCTGATTGAACTAGTTCCAACAATGCTTCCAGCAGGTAAGTCACTTAATGTTTTATATTTGGATCCAGCTTTCATCACCAAAGCATCTCTAGGATCTTCTCGTTTGGTGATACATCCAAGTTCAAATTCATCGGGTAAATTGGTAGGAATATCCTTAAGGGAATGCACAATAAGATCCAACTTTGGAAATTCACCTACTTTATCCACCAATAAAATCTCCAATTCTTTAGTCCATAATGATTTTCCGCCAAATGTGTATAATGGCTGTGATTGGTTTTGATCTCCGAGAGTCGAAAGAGACAATATCGAGGTTGTGAGATATGGGAATTTAGACTCAAGTAAAGCTCTTACTGATTCAGATTGAACTACTGCAAGTTTGGAATTACGACCACCAATTTGAATATATTGTTCTTCTTGTTCTTGATTTGTTGACATAATGTGAGTATTCGCAGTAATATTGCGTGGCATGTATATCATTCTGCCTACGCTGTTTCTAATGCGTTTGTTTGGGTATTTGTTCTGAGTTGGAGTTGCTTTTGGGGGAAAGTCACTTCAATTTAAAAAGTTTTCCAAAACCTGAAAAAAAATATCCTGCTTAGGTAATGAATACTAAAAATAAAAAACAATAAAAAAAAAAGAAATCGTTCTGGACTTTTTAACAAGAATTAATTTATAATCATAAAAGGAGTTTCAAACGTCTTGAATTCTTGTGAAAATGCTCTAAACTTGTCTAGACAAGTAACTACTACATTGGTGAATATGGACTCTTGATTTAGTTGATTTCTTTCCGTAGTATGATGAGTCTTGCGATTGGGCAACGTTTAAATCTGCGAACAAGTTAAAGCCTCATCTCGACCAATTCCCGAACTTGGCCAACAATTATAGCCGAATGAACACGGATCAGGCCATCCTAATCAAACTAGCCAATGGCTTAATGGGGGGCATATATACTGGAACACAATATTCCTCGAGTATTAACGTCGTTCTATTGTCGATTGTCTATTGTGCTCTGTTGTCGATGGTTTGTTGTGACCAATCGTCAAACTCTGAGTGGTGGAAAGTTTCTCTTGTCGGTTTTATTTTTCTGCTAATTATGTTCCTCGGTTTTAACGTGTACATCAAATAGTTAAACGCAATTCGACAGCAATAATCTAATAGAGTGATTTTATGAGTCCCAGCAAGCTCTTGAAATGACATGTGGTAATAGATAGTATAATCTTACTAAGAAATTCAACAACATTTGTTGTACTTGAAAACGTGAGTCCAACCAATCAGGTGACAGTAAATTGTAAGCGTACGAACAAGAAATCAAAAAAATTTCATTTCCTGTTTAGGAAAGTATTCCGAGGTCGCACTAATATTTTTAGCTGCAAAAAATTCTACAGTATCAGATTGTTTATAGACAATGAAACACCAGCTTAGAACTGGATATTGCTTCGTTTATAAAACTTATATTATCTAGTATAAACGCTTTTATATACATATAGCTATTACTTTCAAAATGTATCATCACTTTCATTATATTGTTCAATCGTAGAATCACTCAAAATCACATCCTTATGACTAATTATAGAAGTATCCATATCTTCAAAAACATCTTCATCCATGCTTACTTCAATATCAGGTATCTGATCATTATGGTGTATGTTATATGCCAATACTGACTTATTGGAAAAATGTTCTTCCATTAATGATTCAAGAGCAACAAGACGATTAACCAAGTCGTTGGTAGTGGTTTCGGACATTTGCAGCAGTGTACGTGGAGGAGGGAAAAATTGTCTCTGTCTAGGGGTGCCAAATATTATCGATGCTTTGGATGGAGTATGACTCGTCGTGGTGTCGATTGGTTTCGGTTTTTCTATGCGGATCTTTCCATATTTATTATTCAATAATTCACTGATAAATAAAGAATCATTAGATGCTGTTCGTAAATTATGCCCTATCGAACTTAATGATTGGTATTTGTTGGGTTTGTTGCTGTATCTTCTGGTGGAAGCATAAGAGCGTCTTCTATCGTCAGACCTATTTTCTGCCTCTGGCTTGATGAATTGGAAATTTTTCAATTCTTTACTTGATGATTTATTTTGAGATCTGAACTTTGAAACTACGAGCTCGTACACGAATATAATGCATATGATTGGAAGTTTAAATGTAGTTAATGTTTCGTGAACCAATGATTTCAGTTTATTCAATTTCGCCATCTTGAGATAAACAACCAAATTGGTAGCTTTAAAGAAATTAAATTCATCTTCATTATTTTCTCTCACTTTGGCAAATATTCCACTCAAACAGATTGCCAATATTGTCCCTATAATAAATTGTATCAAAAATAAATACCCCATTTGAATCACTTTGCCTGATGTTTTGTAGTGTTCCCAGTTATTCCATACGGAGGGTGTAAATCCAAAGAAGATCTTTACCATATTAAACAAAATCTCACCCTGTGTCTCTTCTTTGTTAAGTGTTATAAAGCTAAAATAGAATCCATTTATTAATGTAAAGAAAAAGCAAATCAATCCAATTAGGTTCCACATCATGTGATTGAACGACACCACAATTAAATTGAAAAATTGATAGTTGTTGAAAATGGATAAGATTCTGGGAAATAGTATAATTGCAATCAAACTAAAAAAATCATCAAAATAGTAATTATTCATTACCTTTAACAAGAAGCATGAATCGATTAGCATAATCAACAAGAAATCCACGTAGTGCCAAATAATCATTTTCGTGAATTTCCAGTCTACGATCAATACTTTCAGAATAAAATCAATATTGAAGCTCAACCCTAAAACCCAAAATAAGAGTCCCACAGGTTTGTGTAGTATCATAAGAAAATATAGGATCATAAACGAAACCAAACTTAAGTTGATAACTAGTGCCTGATACCTCGGTACAGTTTTAGATCTTTGAATTATTTTCCCAAAGGATATATGATTGAACTTATAGCTTGCAATGCCGTCACTATCTAGTAGACCTTTCTCGGCATCAATGAAAATTCCCTCCGTATTTGTTAACTCTCCATTATGAAAGCGATCCAAGATTCTTACGATTGCAGGCTGCGAAAGAAATTTCTTGGAATCAGATAATACACACAACTCAAGGGTATTAAAATTATAAGTAGGGTTCATCTCACTTAAAGGTTTGATAAATAGTACATTAATCCTCTGGATTGATTTATATTCTCGAAGCATCCTAATAGCCAATAATTCGCATACATTAGCTTTGGCAATTAGTAAATCGTAGCAAATAAGATTATTCTCTGACTGTATCAAGAATTCATATCGTAGAAGCAACAATATAAATATCACATTGTTAGGACCTTTTTGGTGGCCCTCTTCTTTTAATTCTGATATTCTTATTATTTCTTCAGTCATGGGTTTCATCAAGGTGGAATGAATCTCAGGTGCTTTCAATTGTTCATATTTAAGACTTAATTGGACATGAGAATTTACTGATTTTTGAACAGAAAAGTAATGCGTTTTGAAATCATAATGTCTAGTGAATTGATTACTGACATCACGATATCGGAACATGACTTTAGAGACCCTTTCTGGAATTATATACTTTCGAAGCTTCTTTAGAACAATAAAATGTTAAAATAAAATAAAAATGTTTAAAGCATGAAGAACGTGATTTTTTCAATCAAGAAATTTTTATTCGGCATTACTGTATTTGGCTAAATCGTAAACAAGCCCCAGAAAAAAATAAAATCTAAAATTTTGCAACCCCTGAAAAGACAAAAGGAGATTGCATCTTATCATTAATAACTCAAACCCCGGGCAATACAGGCAATCAGACGTTATCATAAGGTCGCTTTTGTTAGTAAATACAATCATGCTTGACTTTATGCGATCTTCTGGTTAATAAAATTGTACGCCTTTCTTCCATTTTCTTTTCCCAAAAGTTTCTCAAATTGGGGTTTTGATAATTGTACTAATTGTTCAATGTTTTTAACTTTTTGAATAATCATATAATAATTCTGTGCATTGATTCCTGGGATATTTTGAATGAAATCAATCGGATCGTCATTAAACACTGGTGGTCCTCCGTCTTCTGTTATAACCGATTTGTTGACTCCCTTATCCAAAGCCAATCCAACGTCCGGTTCTTCTTGATTGGCTTTTAATTCCAAGAAGATTTGTGCTGTTTCGTAAGGTGACGAAGACCAAATGATCTTTAATTTTGGAAATGCAATTAATAACAGTAGTAGCTTGGCTTGAATGTTTTGTTGGATTTTATTATTTGCTGTGGGGTTTCGTGTTGTAACTCTTTGGAATCTGGTTTCTGAAAATGGTTCCAATGAAAAAGATTTATTTTCATCAAACTCGATTAATAAAGTTGGCAATTCATAATGCTTAAACATTTGCTCACATTGAGTATATAATCTTCCACTTTTGAAACTCGATATTAAATCTGGAATAGATTTCCTTTCGACACATATCTTAGGTGAAACGATATAGTCACCAACCGTTATCATACAAGGTACCACTTTTATACCCACTCTGTATAGTAAATTTGGAAGCGAAGATCTAAACTCTCTTACATCAACCACAACTCGCATCTCATCGGTCTCTGTTCGAAATCTACCACCGGCAATTCTGGTATTCACTACTTGATTTCGTTGAATTTGAAATTTATAATTATCATCAGAAGTCTCAAAATGTTTACTCAAACTTGCTTTCTCTTTAATCAATTTCGAAAATGCTTCTTTTTCCTTTCTGATCCTTTCCAAATGCTTTTGTTCTTCTATTGAATCTCCATAATACATCAGATATATCTTAGCTGGATTCTCATGATTAATGGCTTGGAATATTTCTACTCTTCTATAGAAAGACAAGTCCGGTTCATACATTATGATATGAGATGGAGAGATTTCTTGTAATACCGAGGTTCCATTGCTGTCATTGTATGCATGTATAAATATTTCATCCTCTCTATCAACATGGGTGATTTCAAGATGGTCAACTGAGAATTGTATTTCCTCAATGTCATTATCAATTGGATTTTTTACCACTTCAACTTCTTCGTCATCATCATCGTCATCCTCATCGTGCTCTTCGTTAACGTCTTCTTGCTCTTCTAAATCCTTTAAGATATTTTCATCGATATCTGCGGATTCGGATTCGGTGGCAGTCGAATACATTCTTGACACTCTTGCTGTGGCACTGGCACCTCTTGTTCTTCTTCTTTTACTAATTGGCTGACCGCTCCTACTAAATGTTTTAGAAGTTGAAAGCTTTTCAGGATCTTCTTCTTCTTCGGTTGTACCCGTTTTTGCTTGTTCTTCGGCATTTATTTCTGAATTAATTTTACTTGCCAAAGAATTAAACTCTTTCCAGGCTAGGTAGTCATGCAATTTCCTTATCATGTACTTACGACATGTAAAGACTCTCTTACCTGAAGCTTTTTCTTGTTTCATTGTTTCCAATAGTGTACTCAATTGTCTCGCAATCTTCTTTGAAGTGCACATTATCAATATCGGTCCTTGATCTCTTAAGTTGGATACACTCTTTTCATACAAAATATCATCGATTAACAACCCCAATTCGTTCCATTTGGGTAGCTCTTCCAAAATATATTCATCATTATATTTCCCTAATGCCCTTTCTTTAGCAAAGCTTATAATCGTGTTTGATTCATCCAAATTAAGCCAAGGACTCATTGACGAATTAACTCCAGATCTTTGATGTTTTATATTTGCATCGACGATACCTTGGACAATTTGATAATAACTAATTGAGTCAAGAATAAGTAATTCCCTTAGCAACTCAAGTAAAGTACTCAAATCCCCAACTAATTGTTTTGTCGTAAATGTCAATCTATGCCATTGTGATTCCAATGAGCCTCTAATATTTCTCACGAAATCGGGATCATGCACATTTGCCATATCCCAATATTCAGTAGCCAATTCTCCATTGTGTCTTTTCAATTCTCCAAGACAAGCTTGAATACATGAAAGAATTGCTGATTGGATTTTTTGCATTTTATACGAAAGTTTTATGTTTATCTCTGTGACGAACTTCCTTGCATCTTGAAGTTTCTTTCCTCTTATATTAAATGATTGTGATATCGTGACGTGGAATCGTGGCCATAGGAAAACATTCGATAGCCTTAGAATTTTTAGTTTGGTTGCCAAAGGAGTAAACCCAGTAAATGACTCAGGTTGGTCGGAAAATGCTTTAATAAATCCCCATTGGTTTTGATCTCTGTAAATATTGATAATGAAGGAATCATTAGACGTTTCTCTTATTCTTTCTGCGTGTAGGATAAATAATCCAGTGATATCATTAGGAGCAATCATCCCTGACAATAAATCCACAACCAAGACTCGCGATGTAATTGAAATTATACCACCATCCGAATAAATCTCACGTCTCTTTGTGGATGAGGAGTCACCTGTTATTACAGTAAATGAATCATCCTGTTCATCTTCAAGCCAACTTAATCCAATCAATTCTTCTCGCAATCGAATCATCTCATCTTCTCGCATATTAAGTACAAATATTAATCCCCTTCGTTTCTGCAGTTGGTTACCCAATGTGATAAATGGAGAGCTTAAGGCATGTAGTAGATTGGCTGTTATCAAGTCCCAGCCTAACCCATATCCTAGGATTAACAATCCATCTTTTGTTAACATATCCTCGACAATTTCTTGTTGATATTTTAAGGGCAATGTACAATTAACTTCGCGATCGGGGTATACAGGAATGATTTCAGGTTCTTGGAATTTGACAGGAATAGACACATCTGGAGTGGAACCAGAACCAGTAGCCTCGACTGGTNGGTTCTTCATCTTGAACAAATAGAGACATGGAGATGCTTTGTCACACAGGAGATGAATGATGGTTGCCAAATAAGTTTTTATAATTTCTCACAATAACGCGACAAAGTTTTGATGCCGTGGGAATGTTAAAAGTTCCTGGATTTGTTTACTTTACAACAATTATCTCTTCCCTTCCCCTCAGTAAAAGAAATGACACAAGCTTTGTTCAAGGCATCAGAGTATGCAAGTGTAGCAAGTACTACTTTAAGAAATACCGTGTTGTTTAATATTGTTCATATTGAGAATATATCCAAATCCAAATTAAATCAAATTGAAGATTGGAAAGAATATTATGATCCTAATCGAGTGTCAGTTGATCGATTAAAGAATACCAATCAAAAGATAATTCGAGAGATAAAGGATGATGATAATGAATTTACAGAATCAAGAAATATCAATAACAATAATGTCATATATAAGCTTTTATTACGAGATCGTGGTGATAACTTTGCTTACGCGTATGAACAAGAACCTTTAGGATTTCTTAGACATGGTAGCCCCCAAGCCCAAAATACAAACACTCCACTTGCTATTCAACTTGGTGGACGATTGTTGGTTAAGCAAGGTGCTACGGTTCAACGAGGAGTGATATTCCTTACACATAATAGTTGCAATTATCTAGGTATTCATACTGATGATCGAGAATTGGTAGATACATTGAACGACGGTCTTGCTAAAAAAGAGATTGATATACTACAGAAACAGCTTGGCAGTGTCTAAAAGACGTAGAATTGTGTCAGAATGTCTTTATATAGATCTATAAAAAAGCGAGTGGAAGAAGCGGAAATGATATTCAAAGTTTCCACCCTGCCAATAGTTATTCATCCAATAATGCATCCCATAGACCTTGTTCGTCTGGGAACTCATGATGGACCAAACTTATAAGTACATAATCATTATAGACAGAATTCAATAATTCATAGGATTTTGAATCAATCTTGTAACATCTTGCCCATTGAACCCATAATGAAAAAGCCTCTTCATTCCATGCTTTGAAAGATTCATAATCTATGATAGTTGGCTGCAAGACTTCTTTCAGAGGGAATACACCCCAAGTAACTGCACTCTTGGTATAATGTGCTTGAGACCCAATACCTAAATTAGATTCAATTGATCCATCTTTATTCCCGGCATAATATGTCATTACTTTCTTATCGAAATAAGTCTTCAACTTGGGTTTAAGTTCAAGTTCCCAAGCTTTTTTGGGAATAAATAATTCGACAAATGCCTTTTGGTATATTATACCGTTTTTAGGACCCCAGCCAAAAATTCTGTCAGTAGATTTACAACCATTGACAGCTGGCTGTGATGCCAATGAGAACCATCCTTTCTTATTTAAATTGAAAAGCTCTTCTTGAATCAATGCAGTTTCCAGTGACAAAGAACTATCTGTCCATGGAAGAATATCAATCTTCCCAGATAAATAATCTATAAATACTTGTGTCAAGTCGGTAATAGTTTCAGGTGTACCCCATTTCATAGCAGCTTCAGCAGGGGTATGAATCTTCAAGTTTGGACCATATCCGTCAATTTCACCATATGCTGGAGAATTAGAATCACCAAATCTACCATTTGGAAAGTCATCCCATGTTGCATCCTTACCTAAGGCACCTTTACCAGTACTAATGTCAACCAATATTTGTTTATCCTTTAAGAGAGCCTTTCCGATTAATACCTTCGAGGCAGAGGCGGTCTCTGCTATTTCATTCTCATTTATTATCGATGATCTTCTTCTATTTGGTCTGATAACAACATCCTTCATGTCTATGTCTGAATCTGAATCTGACGCAATTGCATCTTCACGATCGGTAGTGGTTGTTGGACCCTCTAATATTGATCTCAAAACTTCTGATTGATCAACTATAGAAACAACTGCTTTTTCTAAATTCAAACAGTAAAAGTGATACCCTTTAATTCTCGAGCCTATTTGGTTGTTAATGTTGGAGATGATTTCATTTACGAATTGGACACCGAGTGTCTTGACAGCATCATCATCATGACTGACTTGATCAAGTATTCTTAATATGTCCTGAGGAATGGATGCATGTGATAACCTACTTGCTCTGGTGAAAACTTTATAAGTTGTGATTGGCATCAATCCTGGAATTAATGGAATATTCTTCAATTCATCATATGATTGAAGCAATTGTTCATATTGCACGAATTTTTCAACATCAAAGAATAATTGTGTAATAATATAATCAGCTCCAGCTTTAACTTTTTCAATCAAGAATGGAATATCCTTTTTTGGATCTTGTCCAGAAGAATCAGACCCGTCAACATGACCTTCAGGATATCCAGCTACCCCAATACAGAAGTAATCTCCATAACGTTCCCTAATATACTTGACTAAATCCACAGCCCCATTGAAATCACAATTTGGTGTCCAATATTCTTCAGCTCTTGGAGGATCACCTCTCAAGGCCAATATATTTCTGATTCCTGCCTTCTTTGCTCTTTCCAAAGCATCGTCTATTATTTCTCTATTGGTATTAGTACAAGTCAAATGCAAAACTGTAGTCAATCCAAGATCATTTTGACAAGTGGCTGCCAAATCTAAAGATTTTTCACTTGTAGAACCTCCTGCACCCCAGGTTACAGTTATGAATAAAGGATTAAGGGCCAGCATACGATGTAATCTGGCTAATAAATTCCTGAAACCAGCATCTGTCTTTGGTGGGAAGAACTCGAATGAAATAAACTTCTCGTTTGGTCCTAATGATTGTATCTTCTCTATTACTGTTGCCATCTTTCTTATACAATTAATCTTAAGGTGATTAAGAATGAAATTTCCTGAAACTTGAACAAAAGTGAAATGAAGAAAAAAAAAGGCGAATGTGAGTTCCAGCCCGATGTCTTTATTTTTTTATGTTGAGTCACGTGAGAAGAGGAATTTTATTTGACTCGGATTTGACAGTTGCCAAATATAGAAATATACGGGTAGCATTGACAACTTTAACCTCATCAATGACAGAAACTTTACACATATCAACGGCCGCTATGACTTTCCTGGCCCACGACGAATCTGCTTACACGTATATTTAAATAATATATAAGGAAAAGCAAATGCATTGTTATTTAAATATTAAGAAGAATTCTCACACATTCTTTAAACAGCACTATATTCACCCCTGTTTCTATTTCCTGTGAATTTTTCAATTATTTCTCTAATAAAACTTGGTAACCCTTTTAATAAATCTATAAAATTCTCCAGTACTTCCTTCAATGCGCTTTGGAAATCAATGGCATTACCTTTACTATATTGAAACCATGCTCCACCAACAATATAAATACTCAAGAACAAAACTAAAAAGATAAAAATCCAAGTAAACCAACCCCAAGATTCTCCGTTATCTTGTTTAGGTTTCTTATTGTCGTTATCTGGTTTCTTCTTATCTTTCTCATTGGTAATACATGCAGCTTTAGATCTCATGGTAAGTCTTAATTTATCCCCATCCCATTTGTTTAATTTGAATTCATTCTCACCGGCATTTTTGTCACAAATGAATGTTAATTCCGCATCTATCAATGAATCGCCCCAATTAACATCTTTGTATGTTATCTTGATACCTTCTTCGTTGTCAGAGTTCTTATCATCCTTGGAAAATGGACTGTATGTTTTGGCCCAATTTGCATTGAATCCGATAATTTCGGATACTATTGGTTCATCTTTCTTATCACTAAGGATGATCGAAGTGACTCCACAGATATCTGAGTTTTTTGGACAATCTGGAATTGAATTAATAGGCTCACAGATTCCTATACTCCAAGTTACGTTGGTTTGAGATGGAGGCGTATTTTTTAATGTGGTTACTGAATGCACACCTTTAATGCTTTCAAAATTGTAAGGCTTGAGTTCTTTTGCAGAACAATCGATGGCTGTAGCTGTAGCACATAATGTTGCCACTAATCCAATAAGACTCGGTAACATTTCTTTTGATTTGTTGTATTGGTATTTATCGCTGTTTGCTGTCAATGGAAGATTTGATAATCTATTTCGGGTTTTCTTTAAAGAATATTTTTTTGGTTCCCTGACCAACCCTAAACTGTAAAAAAGTTTAACCACCAAATCATCAATTTTTTTTTTACACTTTTGACGTAATCATGTGACTGGTGTCATGTGACCGCCATTTTTGAATTTTCCCGCTATTTCACCGTTTTTTCTCTTTTTCTGTCTCCTCCCCCACCCCATCCTTTGTGTCGATCCATCAGCCGAGGGCTAATACCACATGCAAAAAAAACTACTAAGAGAGCGCAACTATCCGAATCACATTCGGTCGATTTTAAAATTCCACGGTTACAAATCGTTTTAACCCCTCCATCCAATTTGAGAAATTTTTTAGAACCATAAGTATAAATATATAACCCTTTTCTATTTCCCAAGTATTTCATTTGAGTTTTCTTCTGATTAAGTATATCCTCCTTCCCCATAATCGAATCAACACATACAAAGCACAACATTAAAAATGGTCAAAGTAACTGTAGCAGGGGCAGCTGGTGGTATTGGTCAACCATTATCCATGTTATTAAAGTTAAATCACAATGTTTCTGAATTAGCCTTATATGATATTGTCAATGCCCATGGTGTTGCTGCAGATTTAT